GTTTAGCGTAGAGATCTTAGCGTTATCTAATAAATCTCGACCATTATACACATTAAATAATTGAAGTGAATTTAATTATTTGATAAATTTATTGAAAAGAAATTTTAATTTGTTCTTATAGGAGATCTCAGTGCCAAATTTTTTAAAATAAAAAGCATTACAATATTTTGAAGGGATGCAACGCATCACCCGCACCAATGAAAACTTCACTTACGCTGAATTTTCTACTTAAAAATAAACAATATGTTATTTGTTGCTTTATTAAAACATCTGAGCAGAGGCTGGGTTTAATCTAGTTTTGGCCATTCATTTGCAATTAAATATTAATGAATAAATATATCGTTGCCATAGGTCAGTTTAAAATATGACCCAGGCAGGTCAAGGGTTAAGAACGAACTTTAAATGGGAATATAAAAATTATATCCTAAGAAACAATCTAAATCTGCCGATCACAACGTTTTCACGTTTCTATGTTCGACCACTCAAGCGAGTGATAGTGCATGATGATGTTTTTTCGCGTGGTCTTCCTTAACTTATCTCTATGGATATACGAATGAGTCGCTGCTGATAAAATAATTAAAGTTATAAATAAAGCTGATATAATGACTATTATCGTTACTTCAATTACATAAATAATTATTAACATTTTTTAAAAAGTCAATTTTTTAAACAATTTCTTTGAACCCTCTTACGTCCTTTTTTATTTAGTTTGACAAAGTGCGACACATTTTCTGGAATAAATTAGTAGGACAATTAGCCGTATAGGAGTTTGTTCGGCTAATTTTAATGTAATCAGGAGATTAATATTTAAAAAATGATATTTAAATCTCATTCTAACTATCTTGACAAGCAATGTCTTCTCTAGGCCGAAATCAACAATATCGACATTCAACTGTTTCAAAGCCTACGACTTCGCTACAAAATTTGGGGAGAAATGTCATTTTTGACCTTTGATCTCAATCAATAAAAATTTTGGTTAGAAATTAGAAGTTTATTGAGAAGCTGAATATTAGGACTTCGCCTAAAGTGAGGTTCTGAATGAAGCTTTTATGTGAGAAAAGAATTTTGATATCATATCGAAAAAGTAACAGCTCGTACGGCTCTTTCCGGAATTGTAATAACTAGATATATAATTGAAGAATAGTGTAGCGTTTTTATTTTCCATACCACTGCGAACAGCAGCTTTTCATCGGAAAGCAGTCATGGATAAGGTATTTCACTAAAGAGAAAACTAATCAATAACAATAAACAAAAATATGATATTGGGCGCCAGGCATGTACAGAGAAAGAAAACACGATTGTATATTTACTTAAAACTAATGACTATATTTCATGATGTTCTTTGATACATGACATTGTAGAATTCTAATAATTACTATAGTGGTTATATGTCAAAAAAAATAATGGTGTTAGGTTGTACTAAATATCTATGAAAACAACTATGATAAAATACAAGACATGTTAAGTTTAAGAGAATATATAAAATGTAAATCCACTTTTGATGTTTATGTATATTTTATATGATGTTAAATCGAAGATGTTGCAACCTGTAGATTCTAGAATCTATGTTTGGTTATTCATCTGTTAAAAATAGTGCAGCCTAAGCTGGCTCTATCTATAAAAGTAATACCATTACAAGACATGTAAATGAACTGGAATATAAAAACTACTTATTTTAAATATTAAATTTTTTTTTTTTTATAATATAAGAATATTATTTAAAATGTATTAAAATTAAGACAACTAATCGACTGAAAGCCAGAACCTAAATCTACACTTAGCTGTTCTTGAGGAAATCCTGTTTCAAAGAGTAGCAGCGTGAGGTGGGCTCGTATCTCTGTACTGTCTGTCGGCGATCCTGTTGGCCAAAACAACAAAAGGGGCCAGAATGAGGACACCATGAATCAATACAGCCGTAGCTACTGACTAGGCTTAGAAATGGGAGCGAAGCAGCATGGGGCTTACGCTGTATCCATACTGTGGCAATATGGGGACATTACCCGTACCTTGGAACACTACTAGGACCTTGGATAATGTCCGTAACCTGGACCATAACCTTGGACACCACAGTCCGTCCATAAGATAACGGTACACGGGAACACTACCCGTACCTTGAACCCTAAAAATACGAAACTCTTGTTTAAAATCAAACAAGGTCTAATAAACAAAATGAACCTACCTCGAATTACTTCCGAGGGCTCACTAAATAATAAAGAACCTGTCCTTTCTTCCATGTGACATTCTGGAGGACAAAAGAAAAGGGACGCCAACGTGCCAGCAAAATACAAATGCAAGTTAAGTTGGGACATCAAAAACTTCCCTACCCCTAAAAATATGCAGTAATAATATCGAATCTAAAAAGGATAATATTTCATCTTTACCTGTTGCTTTGAAATAGCAGCTGATTCAGATTATACAGCAAGATAATCACCATTTCTAAAAAGCCGGGATGGTTAGGTTAGGCTACAGAGCGTTAAAAGCAAAAAGTGAGTCCACAGCACAGAGAGTTGACAGAAGCGATCTTGACAGCGCGCGCCTCCACGGAACAGTGAAACGATAACACGGTTGCGGACTAGAGAACGCAAAAATCACGCCAACGTTTGACCAGTATCTGAGGCCCTGAACGATACGGAATCCGATGACGATACGCCAGACATACATCATATAAATCATATATAAAAAAATACATGTAACGAACTAAAAACGTTACAATAGTTATAAAAGACATAGAGTTGTCATTTTTAAAAAAATGTCCAATGCTGTCATATCTTAAATCTAGAACACACTGGAACACACTATATAAAACTTTGTTATATCAAGTTACAGAATGACCTTGTTTGGAGTTTAGTTACAGAAAAATTAGATGTCAACTTTGACATTTAAAAAAAATACCATTCCATTCTGTGCATACAGCGGGAAATCCAAGACCGTCCATGTTAATCTTATGGTGTTATGCGATTTTCGACCTAAAGCGTTGAAGGGATGGTCTGTTGCTTTGCTATCGTTCTTTTAAATAGCAGAGAATTGCCCCTCGTGGCTATGAATAGCTAAAAAAGCATTTTAGCTATTCGCAGTTTATTTGTGCTGTCAATTGCTACTTATTACGGCTTACTTACTGTAAAATTATTATGCATGCTTACTTGCTGTAGAAATTATACGGGTTGCTGATTCTTTAATGTCATCTACCCCCACAACCACAAGCTCAGGGTTTGTGTGAGGTTCAAGTTAATGTCTCCTTTCTGCTGCAATGGCTAAATTGGACGGGACCTACTTTGTTTACGCGGAATCCGAACCGCAGTCCTCGGCCATATCATGGTCAATGGCCTACCAACTTAGGAAGTGTCTAAAATTAACTATAGTAAACATAGCCATTACTTATGTCATAAAACTATTTGTGGACTTTCCAAATAAATTACAAGGCCAAACACAATCGTGTTACATAACCCTAACATACTGTTGACTTAATCGATAAAAGTCCACCCGTTTTAATTAACCAAAGAGAGGAGGTTTCGTGGAAACTTTTTAGAGCTTTCTTTATATATAAGAAAATGTCACGGAATTCTGGTCACGTGTTTCCTCACGGAGCAAAAGCTTTTCTAGTCCTTTTGTAAATTAAACTTTTGTATTTCAATTATGGTACGCAGTTTTTTCATCCTTTCGTTTTCCATCCATTTTTATAATTAAATATATTCCAACTTTGTCCTGGCAGCTTTGTTCTCTGTCAGGTCAATTAATTTCTAACTCCAGAGGTATCTAAATACATAAACAAATTAGAATTAGTTATATTATTTATAACCCAAGAATGGCAGTTCTCAAATAGCTGAATAACTATTAAAATATCCGAAAATTCACGGAAAAAAGAATTATACAGAAGAATTTTCTTTGGTTATCAGTTTCGTCAGTTATTCTGCTATTTGGGAATGTTTCCGATACCTTTGAGGTAAATAAAAATCGTTATACTAGAGAGCTACTATTTACGATAAAGAAATCTACAATTGGTAATAGGTTCACATGGAGTTGTACTTGAGAAAAACAAACCAAACCAAAAAACTCCTAAAGGTTATAAAGCTGTTGGCACCATCTAAGAATCCTCTCAATCTAAACAATGATAACTTAATACATCTTACGTTACTAGAATTATTTTCCTAGACGTCTGAAAAAAGGGCTCTAAATGAATGTCGATATACCTTGTTACTGCGATAATGCCACGATTCATCTGCTGCCCTCAATGTTTGGAGAACAATTCTTCAAAATGCTTCGACATCTTGATGTAGGGTTGCCAACGATCCTCCATGCCGGAGGACAGCACAACATTCTTCTTTTTAATTGTATTCCTCATTTCTGCCACGGCGTGAAAAAGTCTTCTTTTTACAATTAAAATTGTTAATCTGAAAACAATGTCTTTCGCTACTCCCCACTCGTCCACAGAAAAGAGAAATATTTAAAAGGCTATTTGCGGATGCGATAAACATGTTTGCTTTTATGTTTACTTGCTGTTTTTTGAAATCAAAAAGTTTTATAGAAAATATTTTGTTTCATTTACCAAATTTTGAGTATAAATATTTTGAAAATAGAAGGACCATCATCCGCGCCAACGCTTTTATAAGGTTTGGGACACCACATTTGGACACAGTTTAAAAAAAATGTTTCAACTGTGGCGCTTTTTTACCCTCTCGTCCTCTATTTTTTATTTTGGCAACCCTACCTTGATATAAATTTAACGACCAGTAAAGTGAGGGGCTATCGACATTCATTATTCATTTAGAGGGCCTTTTCCCATAGACGTTACATAACAAGCTTGAGAGAGAGTTCTGATCTGATCTAATCTTTTTTTGAAGGCGAGTTAGTCAACTCAGGCCTTAATGTACTCCTTGTACATTCTCTATTGGGAGTGACCATGTAACCGGCAAAAAAACTTAATTTTGAAAAGAAGATGACTAGTAGACTTAGCTGTTACAGTAGGTAAATTGGCCAACTCAGTAGGCTATTCTTTGCTCGAAATGGACTCTCTGTTTGATAACAAGGGCATGCTGAATGTTGCACTGTCTTGTCTTATCTTAGCTTTCTTTTTATATCCTCTGCATAGTGGTGAGTCACTTAGATTCATTTCGTGAAGGTATTCATTAAATCGGCAGTGTCTGGTTAGAATTACAGTTAGAGAAATTTAAAGAGCGTCCATTCTTCTCAAAGAGACCTGGTTTTTAAATTAAAAAAAAAGTATAAAAAAGACTCAAAGTCTCGGTCTCAACTTTTTATACTAAATTAAACAGTGACACGTGTTTCAACTCTTCTGACATCCAACCTGAACCCTAATAAGAAAGAGTGGCCCAAATAAATAACAAATAATAATAAAAGGTCGTCGTAACTTACAAATACAATAAAAGTCAATCACACACGTTCACATTTGCATATTAAAACAACAATTGGTGAGATGAGGCTGAGATGACCGGAAAATATTTGATTTTTTTTTTTTTTTTAAATCAAATAAAATCAAAACAAAATACAAAATTAAAAAATAAAATAAAATAACCCCAGCGGGATTTGAACCCCCGGCTTCCGGGTAGGAACTAAACACGTGAAATATATCAGAAGATTCCTATCCTTCAATAAGAAGAAGAGAGACAGCCGTTCCCACCAAGACAATTAAGCTGACATATACTTTTACTTTTTATTCTAATTCATTTTAATTAGGCAGTTGATTGTCAACCATCATAGCATACATACTAAAATTTTTTTATAAATAAATAAATTTTTTAAAAAGCATTTCTGAGTGTTCGAGAGTTATTTGGCGCAGTCGGTAGGATACACAGAATTCCCGTATCGAACGTGAATTTTCGTTTTAACGATTGACTGTGAACAGATCCTAGACAGTTGTTCGCGAAAAGTGGAAAGTGTACTGACGGCTCTTCAAAAATCAAGAAACCGACCTCGTATTGGACCAATACACAATTCGCTCGAGCAGAACATCGAAGTTTGGAACAACATTGTCCAAATTTGCGAAGGAACCATCAGCGAAGACTACATTGCAGACCTGGTGAATTTCTTCATAGAAAAGGATGCTCAGAATCGCTCTCATCTTACTGTAAGTACAATTTATGGAAGAACTTTCTGGGGTACTTGAAAAATTAAGTTTTAACAAACCTTCAACTGACTCTCAACCAATTAACGAAATTTTACAAAGAAATTTAAATTCAATATAAGCAAGATGACACAAACTTTCAAAGCTGAATATTTAAATTGTTTGCCTGAATTCGACGGCAATCCTAACGAATTAAATAGGTACATATCTATAAGTGAATCGTTAATAAATAACTTTATGACCATGATAATCCAAATAAGAGATAA